GGTTTGCTTTTGAAAGAGAGGTTGGCATCTTTCACTTTCCTTAAACCCTCCAGTGCCAGCTGCGTGGCCTGGTGCACACACACAACTCCAGCTGGCCAGATATGCCCAGCTTCTGAAAGCGGCAGATTTTCCATAGCCAGTCTGGTGTTCTGGATCCCTGACTAGAACTCCTCAAGGCCTGCAGCTCTGAGGCTGTCTTAGAAGCCAGTGCTTGAAGGGAGCCCCACACACCTTTCTTGTCATTGACCCACTGGATGGTCTTGGAGAGCTGGGCTTCCCAGTGGGCCTCAAGCTCCTTCTTAGCTGGCAGCTCATCCTCCAGTTGTCCCGAGCTGTCAGCTTAGCCACCAAAGCACGAGGCCTTTCATTTTCCACAGTGCATTCCTTGCTTTCTTCACACATCTCCCTTTCTTGCTCACATTTCTCTTTTATTATGCCCATGGCCTCCTCCACTGCCTTATGTTGCTCCCCGCTTGGCCTCCTCCAGCTTGGCCTTCAGGACTAGGATCTCCTTCTGCTGGGCCAGCTGGTGGCTCTCTGAGTCATGTATGTTCTTCACTTCTTCTCTTGTAACACACGGGAAGCATCATGTCTGACCAACTCCTCTTCATCAAACAAGACTTTGTTCGCAAGCTCGGATTTGATCTTCAAAAGCTCTTGCTGGTGTTGTGAGGTGGCACCGCATCCCTGCCCTCTGAGCTTCCTCTTAAGAGCTTGTTTTCAGTTTGCGTGGAGAAGTGCTCCACTTGTTCACAGAGCTTGCATTCCTTCAGGGCCTCAGCAACACCATCCTCACGTTGACCTTCTAGCTTTCTTTGACCCCTCAAATCCACATATTTCCTGTTAGAGTCAGTCAGTTTTGCATGGCCATCCCCTCTTCCTGGTCAGGCAGCTGCTGGGACACTTTCTGCTGCAGGGAGAAGCACTTGGCCGTGTACTCGCTGAGCTCTGAAAACTCCTGCAGTGCCAGCTTCCACTGCTGGTGGCCATCTTTGAGCTCCTTGGCTGGGGACTTGAGTCACTGGATAGCTTCCATCAGTAGCTTGTGGAAGCCTTCCTTCTCCTGCCACACCACACAGTACTGCTTCTTCAGCCCCTTCAGCAACCTCGTGAAATCCCCCTTCTCTTGACAGAACTATGCATTGTCTTCATGCTGCTCTCCCAGAACTATAAATCTTTACAGCCTCCTCTTTCTCCCAAGGAGCGGCTAGGGGATTTGAACTGCTGCCGTTGCAGTTAGCATGCCAACGTGTAAAGTGCTACACCACTAGAATTCCCAATATAGAAACATTTCATTTCCAGATAAATTGGATAGAAACATGAAAGTGAAAGTCATGAAGAAGGCCACTTATATTTTTGTTTGTTTTTGTTTTTCTACTTTTGACACAACAGAAAACACAACAAAGCCAGGATTACCTTTCCTGCCTGGATGAAGGCTGAGGGAGGCTCTTGGGCACTGGGTGAAGAAGGTGATGGGAGTCGCCACAAAGGCATAGTTGAGCCTGGCAGAAAGAATCAGAAAGAGTTTGGCTGCCATCTTCATTTTACCAAACCAAACAGACAGTCCAGGAAAAGAAGCTCTCGTTAATATTGAGTAAAAATGAAAATAAATTCCCTAAATCAAATTGCTCATGAATAAATTGTAATTTTAACAGATAGCCATATTATTAATTTATACATAAGATGTGGGTATAAAGGAAATAACATTTTTATTGAGCTGAAGTTATAAACTAGGGA